CTGTGATGCTAGAGTTTCTGGCCAGAATTTCTGCTCAGGCCAATCACTGTTGTATGTTTGGCGCAGTTGTTATGGCTGTGGGCACTGAGTTGTGGGGTCCCGGTTCGAATCCCCTGTAGGTTGCTTGTTTATTCATGTCTTTCCTTTGAGTGTGCGTGTGTGTGTGTGTGTTTAACATGCTGCTATGCACCCTGCATTCACAATGCTAGTACAGTGTACTGGCATTGTAAATGCAAAGCTGCATAGCAGCCAAAAAAATTTTCTTGAAATAGTTTCACTGACGCCGTAGGGAACAGCATAAAAAAAACGGGAATCTTGGCAGGAATATGGGGGGGGGGCACCCAAACCGCCAGGATAACCGCCAGGGGAAGCTGCAATCCTATCCCCGTCTCTCCAGGCAGGTATAATGCCCGCTTTTTATGGTCTCAGTGGCTGCCTGGATAGACATCCACCCTGGACGTCTATAAGGCCGTTTTTAGTGCGTAAACCCTAGAGGTTAACGCCCAAATTATTTGCTGGGCATTCTCACATGTAGTAAATTACCGGATTCAGAGAAGTACCGTCACGGAAAAATGACTGCTAACCATTGTGAATACTATATTATTAAACTAAAGTCCTCTTTACGACATAAAATTAGAAAGAAAGACACAAAACTCAAAATTTTAAGACAATAGCATTTATCAGCAAATTCTTCTTCTATCTTCAATGTTTGAAAAAAATTCACAAGTTTTCATTTAGATCTTTTAAAAACTTGGCCATTTTTGAGGACAGAAATCAGTTTTTAGACCATGTGAACCAAGTTTGTTTCACATAAAAAGTCTGCAAAATTCTCCCCTACAAAATTTTGTGATGCGACATGATCTTTTTATTTCTTCAGTTATCCGGGTACTCACCAGCGTGACAATGTACAATCTTAATGAACTAAAATTCCTCTTCGATAAGACTAAGAATGTAAACAGTTAAAAAATAAGGAGAGATTGAAGTTCACGTAAAGTCCTTATAAAAACTTTAATACAAGAGGATAAAACGTTCGTTATTATATGAAGTACATTACTTGTGTGTGTATATACAGGGTGGGCGAAAAAAGTGAATCGATTTTTAACTTGAAATAGCTCAGTATAAAATTGAGCTGTGGCAATGAAAAACGCATCAAATGATGGCTTGTTTGATTCTCTGTCAAATTATGTGGTTTGCAGAGAAACAGCACAATACTGTTCTCCAGATATGTCCTAAGGGATAAATGGGGGTGTGCGGAATTTTTTCTCCTACACAGACCCAGCAAAGATTAAAATTCGTCAAGAATAATTGTCGCGTCTCGGGACGCGCCTGCAGCTGCTAGTCAACCCTCCAACGGGGCTGTAAACTTAAACAAATTACGACGAGTCGGCAAAAACAAGAGAGGGGGAATTGCTCCCTTCCAGTAAAATTTGAACTGGGGGACAAAATAAAAACATGACCAGCTGCTGGTAAAAACGGGCGGAAATGTATCCATTCCTTGAAAAACAATTTGTCC